AATGCAACGTGAACTTGATAGTGGTGAGTAGAATCCCGCTGAGACAGAGTTTTATTTGATGGCTTGGAGGGGAATTGTTTGATGAAAAAAGAACTTATAGGTTAATAAAAGTCTAGAAGATGCATCAAAAAGAAGGCAATTAGCTGTTTATAGATGCGAGATCTTTGAGGACCAAGTAGCTATAAAAAGGCAATGGCAAACCTCCGAGCGTATTTCTGTCATGAAAAAAGCTTCTCATAAAAATCCCTTTAGCCTTCGGAGGCGTCGTAAAACTGTTGGTCCCTCCATTTGTGCAACAACATCAAGACGTGCAGCACAAATTGCAGGAGAAGCTCGGCCAAAAACTTAGCAAAATTGTAAGCGCCAGAATATTAGTATTAGCATTAAAAAGACTAAAACTCCACACCAAGCTTTTCAAGCTCCTTATGATACCATTATGTACTTGGAATCTCTACAGAATCTCGTCAGTTATTTTAGATTTGTATCCACCACTTCATATGGATCGCCAGGTGCTACAACCTTTTACTATACAGTGCTTAACGACTACCGAAAAGAAAAAGCTCTCTCTTCCTCCTCAGAGATTTTTCATCTTTTTCAGCATCTACGAAGCGGTACTCAGAGCCGATCCGCATGTTTATTTATAAGACAGTAGCTCGTTAACACTCCGACGATTGTTAGATATATACCCTCTTCTTAAATAATGTAAGCTTCAAGCCCTATTGCGGGTGGCAAAAGGTATGCCAATGCTTTGTCTTCGTGGGGGGTGGTCGTACCCCTCTACAAGTTCGTCGGCCATAGTTTCCTTTTAAATCCCTGTGATCGGGCTCAAATAAGGTTAAGACTGCCTCCGTAATAGCTGCAACCTCAGCCTGGAAGACACTATTCTCACTATTCCATTCAGCTTTGAGTCAAATGCAAAAATTACAAAAATTTAAACGCTTTATCCTGCGTGATCTCCCTATTAAAATTTCTATTCCGACCCAGGGTTTTAGCCCACCGGTACACGCTGACCGAAAGAGGGTCAAAATGGTTCAGAGTACTACAGCGGCCTTGCGTTCTAAGAGCAATAATATTTGCTTCGTGCTATCCTGCAATACCGGAGGTTTAAAAAAACATTAATGGTGCTTTCGTTGCTTCGGAAAAATTTTGCCCTTCCATTGTTCTTAAATCGCTAACCAGAAGCTCTTGCGACAGCATAGAAGTCCATAGGCCAACCCGTTATCAACTACGTACAGATATTATGGGCTCCAAGCACAGGTAGGACGCAATCAACACCATTTCACGCCGTCCTACGGACCCTAGTCAATCGCCTCCTCATGACGCTTGATCATCTTCAAATTGAGGCGCAAATGCTTTGCAAGCAATTTCTTCCGGTGATGTCTGGGTAATAGGAGATATTGAACTGCCTAAGGAAACCAAAATACATACAAAGCACTAACCCAACTCCGTTCTGGATACTTCAGTAGATAGAACTCCTACCTATCCGGAATACGACCATAACATCGCGACACAAATAACCGGTACACATTCCCGCTTAAACTTGCTAACATCCCTCTCCCGTTTGTCTGACATTGTCGAAACTGCGATCTCCTGGTCCATATGGCAATTACCCATGACTGCTACGACAGCTTGGACTGCGTGGCCATCACAGCAGTTATGCATACCTGTCCAAAAGATGCCCTTGGTGTGATTATAGGCATTCCTTCTCTGCCTATTCTAATTGAAAAAGAGGGCTGCTGGAGCTGCCTACGGCTGTCCAATGTAATCAGCATGAAAAGTGGATTTCTTCAGCGTTCTGTTCCTGGATGATCGATCTCGCTACCAAGCTCAGATATAATGCTACCGAAATTATTACTTTACAAGCCCTACAACTTGTAGGCTACAAGAGATAGCGATAATATCTATGATAGACAAAGGGTCCCAAGTATGGTATACCGACGAATCGCAGATGGGCGAAGAGAGTACTGGGGCAGGCGTACTTGAACCAAGATTCCAAAAAAGTCTGCCAATATGCTCATACCCAACCATATTCCAGGCGTAAGTCTTCGCAAATGAATTCTGTGTTCGAGAATGTCTTCGTAGAAGGACAAACGAGGCCATAATAAATATTATTTCGATTAGTGAGGCAGCATTAAAGGCTTTAGATTCATTTAGAACGACATCGAGCCTTGTGGACAGTAGGAAAACACGTTTAAAGGTCCTAATGGCCTTGACTTGAAGGGTTTTAAGGCAATGAAAGGACTACCTGTCTCGCAGATGCGGAGCAACTTAGAAGTTGAGGAGAATGTCCGATTGCTGCCCACTTGCGGAAAGCAAAGGGAATGAGACAATCAAAGAAATGTATAACTCCTTTCTGGAGGAACTCCGAAGGACTACTTGAACTTAGCCGAGAGGGTCTTAGAACTCTTACAAGCTATCTAACTGGACACTAAATTTAAAGTACCATTTGAATAAAATTAGGCTTTATCTAGAGATGGACTGCAGGTTTGGTGGGCTGGTGAAGGAAACCTCAGAGCATATTCTTTGTGGCCTACGTAGTATCATGATTCGTAGACTGATACCCCTTGCAGAGCGATTATATTCTCCATACAAAATTTAAAACATGACACCCGCCATTGTGCTTAATTTCTTAAATAGCCTAAAGTTGGAGTGGCTACACAATTACGATTTAGCACAGTCGATTTTTTTAGGTCGCAGCCAGGTATACCCACCCGACGTCATAAAAATAATTGTGATGTACAAGTTACTTGAAATGTTCACGATTTTCGCGTGGAATATTAGCGGAGAGTCTTGTAAGACTAGACGTAGTCCCGAAGAACGTCGGTCGGACAATTGTGACTGACTTTATTCATTAATTATATTCTCCTTTTCAGCCAAGCAAGAAGTATCGAATTTGCGTTTTGACTTTGACCATCTAAAGCAAAAGTGTGCAACCCTAGAACGTGATTCAGATGCTAAAGACCAAAAACTTATCCAACTCACTAAGGGCTTCCAGTTGGAACGCAGTACTAAGGATATCAAGATCAAGTACATACATACATATAACGAATGAGAAGAGTTAACTAATGGTTTATTTTTTGCAATTGTAAATCTTCATAGGTTTTTGCAAAAGTCGATGTATGTCTTGCGAGAAAAATATGCTAAGTTCACACCTTTGATCTTCCTAACAAATTTTGTTTTTGCTTATACTAAATTTGTAAAGAAATCTCTTCGATCCACTGATAATGGTAGAGGCATCTATGATTTAAGTGAAATCATTAAAGAGTCAATTATTGCAAACTTAAAAAATGAAAATATAGCTGCGGATGAATCGCAGAACTTAATCGAGGTATGATTTACAAATGTAACAGAAATTTATGTGCAACTTAAAATCAAACAATTCTTTCAGCTTATCAAATCAGAAACGCAATGCAAGCTACTCGAAAGAAATTTGCAAGAGCTACAACATAAATACGATTCCTTGCACGAGGAACTGCTGGAGCAACGTATACTTTCAGCGAAGGAGACTGGGCATTGGCAAACAATTGAGGCGCTTTTCGGGAACGGCGCGAAAGACAACAACCGAGCAATCACCGAAGGTGAGAATAAAGTAAAGGAAACAGATACGAAAACAGAGGAGCAATACTCTAGTCCGCGGCAAAAAGATGTAGCCACCAATACAGACGCGCCAGTACCAGCAGAACGTAAGCTATCAGCGACGCCTGTGCTTAAGAGGAGATCAACAGTTGAAATGTTGGATAAAAACCTTTCGCCAATCGGCTCACCAATACGACGCATACGCAAGGCTGACGCTACAACACAAACAACAATTGATAGAAGTGAAACGCATTCTATTGAAGTGCGTGATGGAAATACTAAGACATCAGACCAGCCAATGTTCACGGATAAAGTAGCATTAAGTTTAGCAGCTAGGCAATCCATTCAAGAGCCCGATAAAACGAGCGAAGAATCGACAAAGGGGATCAAGGTTATGGATCAACTGCTTAATAGAGAAACCAACGACGCCATCGTGCAAACAGCAGCTGAGCCAACGGAATGTCAAAGCGTGCAAACCGAGACGTTAGCGGTTGGCGAACCCCAATTACGAGATGAAGTGCAATCGACAGAGCTTGAAGAGCGAATAAAAGAAATGGGACAAAAATTGAGTGAGCGAGATATTCGACTTAAAGAGAGCAAAACTGAGTAAGTGCAAAGGCATCATAAGATAGGTGTCTCATTTACAATTTTCACATTAGAGTCAATTTATTCGATGACTTTTCACCTTGCGTGGTCGATTTGCACGTATCTGACAATTTAAGTTTTCTTTTACGTAGTTTGACAATCTATTGCTCATAATTGCTTGCGACATTTCTAGAGCTTCCTGGAGATCTGGAAATTTAGAGACAACTCTTGTTAGAATACACCACTTTCGTTCGGACCAAATTGTGGTAGATTGCGGCTATGTTTCCAGAAGTGAATCTTCTTTTCATTCACTCTTCGAGGAGATTGTCGTCGAGAAGCCTTTTTGAAATACTTAAGTCGTGTAACTAGACAATTCAAACCGGCAACTCCTTTAGCTTATCTTTGCTGTGATTTTAAAACTATTTAAAGCTATTTTAAACCCCTAAACTCGGTACAAACCTATAACCACTTAAGGGTTTTGATGAATTTTAGTATATAGCCAATGGGCTCTAGTTTCAACCTTGCAAAGGCCGGCCACACGCACAGAAAGTGTTCAACTGTCTAATTTGAGCCCGGATCCTTACAGCTGCGGCAAAACTTTTCGAAATACACACCCATGTGTCCATGGCCTGTGGTGGCAGCCGTGAGTTGATCTTTCCTTATAGATCTCTGATTTAGAGTAGGTTTTCCAGATCTTACTGGCAATTCTATACAATGTGGCTTCTTCCACAGATAAGAACTTGTATTTTCATCAAAATCAATGGAACTTGGACTAAGCTTTTGGTAACAAAGCGGATCTACAAATCAGTCATTACCATACCGTTATTTTATTAATAATTACTACCTCCGTTGCGAGGCGAATTTTTTCCCTCGCCCACTGATTAGATATTATAAGACAACCAGCAACTTTGTTTCCAGACTTATAACAGCTACTAAGCGTATTGAAGAACTGCAAAGTCAATTGGAGCTCGTCAAGTCTTCCAGCGAAACTAAGGTAGCTGCTCAAGCGGAAACTAGCCCAAAGAGCGATATAATTGAGGTAATTGTGAAGATTTTATGTGTTTGTCTCTCTACATAAATATGTAGTATATGAACTAACCTACCTCTTTTCTCACCCACATCCAGAAAACCATACTCTCATTCCATACGCTGCTCAGCGAGAAGGATAAATCCATTAGTAAATATCAAGATCTATTACAAACTGAACGTGAGCAAATACAAAATACCACCGCCAAGCTGAACAACGAAATTGGCGATCTCAAGAGTACGATCACGAACTTGAATTTCAACATTAAAACCAAAGACATGGAAATACTCGAACTAAAGACACAACTGGAGATTGCATCTGTGCGTCGACATTCTGCAGAAAAACTTGAACTGGCAACAGGAGCTAGCGGCGGTGGTGGTGGCGATGAAAGCGGAGATAACAGTTTGAATGAGCTAACCGATGAGAAAATCGAAGAGATGTTCCAGCAGGACCCCGTACAAAATGGACGTGAGACTACAATCGCAGCAGATGGAGGTGAGCAATTGGAGAAACAGGATACCGAGTCGATGAAAGAGCTACCAACTTTGTTGAAGCAAGTGAAAGAGCTAAAGGATAAAGCTAGCTATTGGGAGAAAACGTTGGCTGTTAAGGAGGAGGAGCTGAGTTTATTGAAGGAGAAGTATGTTATGGCTGTAATTGAGATCATTGCGAGACCAGTCGATAGAATATGTTTTTAATTTTAAATTTATTTACAACTATTCAGAGTAAATCTTTACGAGGAGCGAGAAAAGTCAATGGAGAGTGCCGTTAACCCGGAAATGGAACAATTGAGGCAACTACTAGAGGAAAAGGACAAACATATCAACGAACTTACGGAAACCCTTAACAATTTTCACGTAGGTGATTTTACCACAAAAGAAGATTGTAATTTTTTTGTTAATTCGCAGAAAAAAATTATTTACCTTCAAAATTTTTAAACCATTTTTAGTTTTTCGATTATTTGTAGATCGTTGATAATACACTTAATTTTTATTTTTTAATTTTTTAGTATTTGGCAGATATTTTATTATTTTTTAATGTTTTGCTAAACTTAATCGTTTTCTTTGATTGTTATATGTTTGATCTATCAAATATCCAATATCGAAAAAAATTTCTTTCAAAATATCTACATATGTATTTGTTCACTCGAGCAAAAAAGTTTTAATTTCTAAAAATTTAAATTTACGAAACAAAAATGATCGATTAGCAAAAGTCTTTAGAAACGATAACTTATATTTTTTGTTATGAAAATGGTTAAGCCTTTCTTCTTTTACAAATAAAATGACTTTAATTACACTTTTATAGCCCCAAAACAAAGTCAGGGCCGGAGGGTACGATTTCACTCTATTTCCTGTACGGGGAATCGAACTGCATCATTCATTCTTTTAATTTTTTCATATCCATTTTATGGTTTGTAACTTTTATTTAATTGGTTTTTCCGCAAACTTTCATTGCAAAGTTGTTCAGAATGCCACAGGCCTTAAGTTTTGTGAAAATACCAAACCCAAAAAAAAAATTAGTCTTAGACACTTTTAGGTGGAAAATCAATAAAAAATAATTTCAATTGACCGTTTTCCCGCTACCACCCCATTAGAACCATCCCTGGGGAAGGAATTTCATTACAACTATCCATAATATTCTAACTTTTCATAGTCACTTCCTCGTTAATTACAAAATTTTTTTTGTGTCATTTTGTAGTCGATTTAAAGCGCAAAAAAAATATGACAAGTAATTTTTAGCAAAAAAAAACAGACTTAAAAAAAAATATATATATATATATACTTCGTGAACCAATGATCGGATCTAAACCAGATTAGTATGGGACCACCTCTGAGACACTGCTTTTCCGATGCCAAATTAAAAAAAAAAAAAAACAAAAAAAAATATTGCGACGAACTGATAGCCTCCTCCTTTTTTGGAAGTCGGTTAAAAATACACATACGTCTTTATTTTGTATGAAAATTCACAATTCAACCTTTCAGGTTGCAGTAAGGGGCCCTAGGGTGTGAGGGAGGGGTCTAATTAATTTTTTGTAGTCATTTTCGATTTCAGCGACTCAAAAAACTTTGGCATACACATCCATCTCAGCTCTGCGCGAAAAATGGAATTTCAATCCCCAAGGGTGGTTGTACGGGAAAATGATACTGGTTTACAGCAAAAATGTTCAATGGATGCCATTATCCAATTTCTATGTAGAATTGCTCGGTGATTCCGAAAACCGAGTTTATTTTTAACCGACTTTCAAAAAAGGAGGAGTTTATCAGTTCGTCGGA